GCACAGACACGGGCATGGGGCTGCTGAAGATGACACAGGCTGTTCCTGGAGGATAGGGCTTGGACCACTGTCTGGTGAGCACAGGTAGTGCTAGCATGTCTCGGGGGAGAACAAGAGATTGGGTGCGGGAGCGGCTGCTCGCTGTATAACCTGCTGCCCTGCATAATGCACAGCTTGAGGAGTAACTCGAACATTTGAGACCCAAGTGTTTCTAGAAGATGTAATGGCTGCCACCACTGACAATTGCACTGCAAGCTCTGGTCATTGTTCAGTACTAATCACATTGGCAGTTCAAATGTCCATCTAGTTTCTAATCCGAACATAACTTTGACTTATCATTGCTGGATCATCTTAATATGTTAATTTCCACAGTTGGAGATCTCTTTATGTCGCTTTCTTTTTGTATGACCTGGCCCAGGTAATCTGAAAATCTAGATAGGTTTGAATTCCCAAATCCATCACCTTGACAACACATGTTCAGCCAGCTCTTGGTCTGGGAGTTGCAGGTGTTTGGAGGCAGCACTCATCCTGCTGTTCCTTGAATTGGCTGCTCCTGGGTGGTAGACTTGCATATGGAAGTGCCTGTTGCTTGGTAGACTGGATGCAGGCACGGTGACTTTGTGAGAGACTGCCACCTTGATTATTGGACTCGGTCTTTGCCAGCTGCAGATGTTTTCAGTGGTGGGTGCATAATATTGCTAGTAAAAAAAAAAAAAAAAAGGCAAGGTCTGATCCATGGAAGGAGAGTAGGGAGGTTATTAACAGGGTAATCGTGGCCTTTTACCTTTGCCTTCCCTGCCTTCAGGTCCACAGAGACCCTCGATTTGATGACCTGTCTGGAGAGTATAAGCCTGAAATATTTATGAAGACGTACAGCTTCCTGGACAGCATCAAGAAGCAGGAGAAGGAGGTGATGCTGTGTGCCTGTCCTTGGCCAGAAGAGCCTTCCTTGGCGGGGGGCAGCTTCTGCAAAGGCCTCCGACAGTGGAGGTGTCAGGCAGGCAGTCATGCAGCTTTCTGCTCTCCTCCTCAGATGGTTCAGAAGCAGCTGAAAAAATGCCGGAATGTGGAGCAGAAGGAGAAACTCCAGCAGCTCCTGAACCGCATGGTGAGTTCAGTGCAGCATCGCCTCTCCTGTGAGGCAGTGCACTAGAAGAGAGGATGCGTGACCTGAGGTCTGCCTAGACACTTGCTGACACAGGCCGTCCTTTCTGTACAGACACAGCAAGAACAGGCACAGAAAAAACAGCAGAAATTGAGGGAGAGGGAGCTGTCTTTGAAGAGACAACAGAGGGAATTGGCCAAGCAGGGAAAGAAACCCTTCTTCCTAAAGAAATGTAAGTACTCAGTGTGAACATGCTGCAGGAAGACCTAGAGGGAGTACTGCTGACAGGACTCCAAGCACTGTGAGTTGTCCGTAATATTCCACAGAGCTGTGGAGGGATTGTTCTAGTGCTGGAACTCAGGGGACAAGCCAGGCCTGGAGCCAGGGAAGGAGAGGTGAGAAGGGGCTGGTCTGTAGAGATGATTCGGGCTTCAGTTTAAAACCTTGCTCCCCTCTCTACAGCTGAGAAGCGGAAATTGGAGCTAGCCGAGAAGTATGCAGAGCTGAAGAGGAGTGGAAAGCTGGAGAGCTTCCTGAACAAGAAGAGGAAGAGGAATGCCATCAAAGACAAGCGCCGTCTGCCCTCGCAGAAGAGCTTGTGAATGCTGTGGTCTGGCACTGGGACTCACTCTGTGCTGGCCAGGCCTGGAAGATGGCCATCCCTCTTCCCAATATCTGCCTTTCACTGTACAGTGATGCTGTCAGGCAGCAGAGCAGAGGCTGAACTGAAGGAAACAGTACTTTTTGTAGCTGAAATGTCCTCTTCACTTGTGGTTTACACCATGCCTGGGCGGTGAGAAGTCTGTCATGCAGATGCAGATGGTGTTGACAGCTGTCTCTGTCCTTGCACCTGCTCATCTCTTCCTCTAGCTAGGAGAGCATGAGCCCTACCCTGCATTGCTGGCTCTACTCCAGGTCTTATCAGACACCAACTGAGGTGGGAGGGCTCTGGTACAACACCTGCTCAGAGCAGGACTAGCACTGACTTGAGACCAGGTTGCCCAGGGCTTCTTCATTTGGGTCTGGGAATGTCCAAGGGCAGATGCCACCACCTCTCTTGGCCTCTGCTCCACGGCTTCAAGTTCTCAAGATCAAACTTTTTTTTTTTTTTCCCCCTTCCTCCTCCAAGAAACCTGCCTGGTTTTAGTCCATAATCATTGTCTGGTTCTCAGTGAAGTGCCTGGCTCTGTCTTCTCAGTAGCCTTGTCTGGGGGGTGGGTGGGAAAGAGGTGCTGTTAGGTCTCCCCAAAGCCTCCTCTTCCTGAGGGTGAATAAACCCTGTTTCCCCCAGCCTTTCCTTGCAGTGCTCCAGCCTCTGACAACTTTCACATCTTCAACTGGAGTCAGCCCAGAGGACCAGCATCTCTCTGCCGGGGGCCCAGCCTGGCTGCAGTGGCTGGATGTAGTCTCGCAAGTGATGAGTAAAGGGGAGAGGATCACGGCCCTCTGCGTGGGCTGCACCCCGCTGATGCGGCCCCTGGTGCTCCCTTCCTCACAGCCAGGGCACGCTGCTGACTCTGCTCAGGTACTGCTCCAGCAGGGCTGCCTCTCTTCCTGGCTTCGCAAGGTGGTCTCTACTGGGCTATTAGTGCTTCTAGGAAACTAATTCTGTATGAAATAAAATACCTCAGTTTTCCTTTATTTCCAGCGTTGGTGCTGTTACAGTCAAAAGTGTTTGAACTTACGGCAGTTAATGCCTCTCTCCAACATTGTGTTTGACCACCAGCTCTCGTTTCTTCTCGCTCCCGATTGTCCCTGTCTCCTGTGGCTGTGCTGACAAGGAGGCGATGCAGCCGTGACCCAGGCAATCTCTGTCTGAGAGGTCGGAGCGTGCGCCGGTGGAGTGCCTCAGCTCTGCGGGACAGAGTGCTCCCTGGGCACAGCCGTGCTGCGTGCGGCTGGGCAGCTGGTGCGTGGGGCCTGGGGAAAGGCCTTGCAATGAGCAAGAAAGGGAAGGATGAGCAACTCCGTCACACCCACCTGAGGGCGTTGCTGAAGCATCTGCCTCCGCTGCAGTCCCCGTGGGTGATGTGAGTTCTGCTCTGGTGATGGGCTTTAGTGTAGCTGGGGGAAGGCAGTAGAAATGGGCTGTGCCAGCTTGGCTAGAGACCACCGGGAAATCCTCAGCTGCCTTTAACCTGCATGTGGCTTATGGCTTTGCACTGGGCCTGGCTGCTGCTTCCTCCTCTTCTTGCCTCGTGATGTGGGATGCAGAGCCCGCTGTATCCGTGCGCCTTCGGAGGAGAGTTACCTTGGGAGCGGTGTGGCAGCACCAAAGCCCAAGGCTCTCCTGACCCCTCTGTGGCATTGGTCTGCTGTTTTATGCTCTCAGTTTTTAATCCAAAGCTGAATAAACCTCCACCTGTACTTTAATGCAAGAAGGGAAGAAGGCTGGGGGTGGCTCACCTCTGTGTCACTGCTGCCAGGGGCTTCCTGAGAGCAGCATTCCTGAGTCCATGTGTCCCTATCCCCAGCTGCTGTTAGGTCTTGCCTAGCAGGGATCGAACTTGGTGCATCCCCAAAGTGCTCCTGCTTTCCTCCCCTGCCCCCTCTGGAGCCAAATGGCTCCTGCCCGCAAGGAGGACATCCTCACTGGGATGGCCCCTGCTTCTGTTCAGCCCATTAGCAGTGAGGAAGAAGTCTACGGGCCTGTCTCTCCCTGCCAGCCCCTGGGCCCAGTACCCCGCAGCAAGGGAAGCCCTGGGCCCTTGCCCACCTCAGCCAGTGTTGTGGTGGCACTGGGCGTTGGGGCAGGCAGCAGCAGGGCAATGCCAGCTGCAGCAGGAGGAGATGCTTCCAACATCTCCAGAGAGCTTTCTCCTGCCAGGGGAGCTGCTCTTCCCCGTGGCCTCCCCACCTCAAGGAGTCAGTTGGGTTATTTTTCTTCTGTTTCTAATGCTGTCTGGCAGTGTGTCTCTGCCAGACCTGCTCTGGCATCCCTCCAGGTGGAGTGTGGGGACTTGCTATGGGTGTCCCTGGGGAGGGCAGCCATTGCGCATGGCTGGCACCAGTTGATGTAAGCGCAGCCGGTTGCACGGGCAGTGGTGGCTGACAGAGCTTCCACACATACCCCCCCCAGTGACACCCTCAGAGCCCACCAGACTCCCACAAGGACCTGCTGGCCAGGAAAAATGCCTTCAGACCCAGGTGCCTGGGATGCTCCCCTCAGACCTGGGTGAGCCCCACCCCACCCCAAACGTGCTCTGCAGCCACAGCTGGACATCCAGGCACCCACGGGAGCTGGGGGGACCTGCCTGCCGGCAGGGACACAGACATGAGAAGGCTGCAGGGCTCGGGTCTTTTATTGCAAAGAGGGACATACGAAAAAGGACAGTCACCCCCTCTGGGCCCCCCCAAGCCTGCAGCTGGCTGAGCGGGGTGACAGGCAGGGGGAGGCCCAGGCCTCGCTCCCCCAGCACGGGGACCCTGGCTCACGCAGCCGGGAGCAGGCTGCACCCAGCTGAGCCAGGGCCAAGCACCCAGCCGGAGCCAGAGCCAACCACAACGGCGGAGCAGGTGGCCTGCAGTGTCCCCATGTGGCCACCCTGGCCTGAGCCCTGGCTGGCCAGAGCGCCGTGCTGCATGGGGAGCGCTGACCGGGGGAGCCCGGCACAGGGCAGGGCTGCCTGGCCCCAGCCAGGCACGGCATACGGCAGGCAAACCTGGCCTCCTCCTCTGCTCTGCTGCCCGTCTCGCTCGGTGGGGTGCTGAGGTCCCAAACTGCTCTGCAGGGGGGCCCTCGCCATGCGACCCTCAGGGACTGGAGCAGCTTTGCCCAGGGAGGGAGGGAGCAGGGTCGTTGCCCTCTGTCCAGGCGGGGAGCTCAGCAGCCCGCCTCGGGTTTGCAGGTACGGCCAGGTGTGGCGGTGCCTAGGCTGTGGCTCCTGCTGGCTTGTCACGTGTTGTCCTGGGCCAGCTCCTCAGGGCAGGCAGGCTGGTCCCGGGACTTGTGCAGCCCTGGGGAGGGCTGGGCCTGGGTGCTGTGGTGCCGGTGCCGCTGGTACTGCACAAATGTACAGACCTTCAGCCCAATGGCCAGCATGTTCTTGCCCATGAAGATGCTGGAGACCCGGGCATCCCTGAAGAAGACCATGTTGCTGCCACGGATGAAGATGGTGGTGATGTTGACAGTGAGCATGCTCAGCATGGGGTACAGCATCATCCGGTGGGGCATGATGCCAATCCCTTGCATGCTGATCTCACAGAGGGACACGCAAGGGAGGACCAGGAGCAAGATGTAGCAGTAGAAGAACATGATGCCCTCAGCCCAGAGTGGCAGCCCCTTCTTCTGGGGCTCCCACAGGTTGGCCTGGATGTCCAGCACATCCAGCATGTCCACAATGACCCAGAAGAGGCGGTTGCGGAGATCTTCTTTCTTCTTGAATGTCCTGACGTACTCCATGTGCTCCGTGGCCACCAACAACACGTAGAGGGCTGGGATGCAGATGGAGAGCAGCAAGGTCAGCGCTTTGCGGGCTATGAGATCCAGGCTCTTCCGGTCAGCTTTATAGTTCTGGTATACAAAGTAGACTTTGATCTCCAGAACGAAGACATACAGGAACCAGAGGATCATGGCGTAGCCCCGCTTAGCTGTCTTTACCTCTGCCCCGACCCAGATGGCCACATAGCGGAGCACCAGCAGGAAGCACACGTCACCCACTGCCACCATGACACAGATGCCCAGCTTCCTGGAGCCCTGGCTCTGCTCCACCAGGTAGGCATCCATGAGGACGAGGCTGGTCATGATGAGCACAGTGGAGAGGCACACGTGGGGCTTGCTGACAGGAGGTGGGGGAACCATCCTGCACGGAGGAACAGGCAGGGCCATCAGGGAGCTGCTGGGATTCCCCATCCCCACCCTTGGGCCCCCTTCTGCCCCCCTCTCCCCAACAGCTGTGGATGGCTGAAAGAAGGCGAGGGAGTTCATAGACCCTTCTCCCACCCTATGTGCCTGGTTTGTTCCAAACCCGCAGGCTCCTAGCCAAAGCGCTCCTGAGACTCCCGGCCAGGCCACCCTGGTGCCATGTGCTGGCTGAAGCCCAGCTCCTGGGCTGCCCGTGGGGACGTGGTGGGGCAGGCTGGACAGCCTTCGATGACTTGGGATGCTACTGCCTCTTCCAGTAGCTCATCACACCGGTTAGCCTCTGCCACTGTGAAGGGTACATGCTTTATTTTCCATGCGATTTCCCAGCCAGTGGCACTGGTTATATTCTCCCACCCAGGCACACAAGACCATATCTGTGCTTTTAACCCAAGCAGGTCCTTAACTGCTATGATTCAGGACCGCTCTTTTTTTAGTCTCCTTTATTTTCATGCACAGCGTGAGGCGAAGGATTATTTTTAGCCTGGCTGTCCTGTGGGGTGGGAGGGAAGAAATCGGCCCAACATCTTCCGTTTCTTTCAGCCTCACGCTCCCCAAGAGCTCTGCCCACAGCCGTTTGCCCATGCCTACCCTGCCCCAGCACGACAAACTGAAAGCAAGGAAAGGCAGCACCAGCCCACAGCTCCAGGATGCAAGGAGCTCTGCAACGGGCCCGCAATTTCAGCTGGATGCTCAGCTTTCCCAGGCTGGGGCAGAGCAAAGCACGGTCCCCATAAGCACCCTGCCTGCCTCGGACGGCACGGGGGCTGTCAGGCTCCCTCCCCCTGGCCAAGCACAGCTGCGGGCAGCTGCTGCCAGAGACGGAGGGGGGACGGAGCCAGGGCCTCGCCGGGCATGGCTCGGCAGCTGCTCTGGAGGGGAGCCAGCCCCCCGGCTGCGATGAGGATGAAGCTGGCCTGCTGACTGCGTGGCACAGCGCTGCAGGATGGCTGCCGGCGCAGAGCCCGCTCGGCCACACCTGGGCCGTGCGGGGGCCCTGGGACGCCATCCCGGTCACCCGGCGGGCAGCGCGCGGGTGGCACTTGACCGCGGAGCGAGCGCTCGGGAGCGGGACGGAGGCAGCACTGTCAACGGTCACCCCTGCGCACCAACGCTCCCGGTGCCAACACCGATGGCGCAGGGCCCTGGGCACAAGCTACCTGAACTCCTGCTTTTTGGCCGAGGGAGTGGGCGTCCTGCGCAGCCGTGCATCCCCGGGCCCGGAGGCATCCCGGCACGTCGAGGCAGGCAGCGAAGCCTAAGCCTGCCAGACACAGGTGCCCCTGAGCGGGGAGAGATGCGAGGCTGGCGGGCGCGGGGGGACGGGGAGGCACCCCGGCACGTGGGGGCAGGCAGCGAAGCCTAAGCCTGCCAGACACAGGTGCCCCTGAGCGGGGAGAGATGCGAGGCTGGCGGGCGCGGGGGGACGGTGGATGTGGCACATCTGGAGGCTGGGGTCTCTCCCGCGTTGCACCCCACGGCCTCGCCCAGCCTTCGGCGGAGCCGGCCGCC